CGTCCAAGGCAGCACCCAAGGCTGCGCCCAAGGCTGCGCCCAAGGCAGTTGCCGCGCCAGCTCCCAAGCCCAAGGCAGCGCCCAAGCCCAAGGCAGCGCCCAAGACAGAGCCCGAGGCACAGCTAGAGCCCGAGGTACAGCCCGAGGTACAGCCCGAGCCCGAGGTACACAGAGAGGTACGGCCCGAGGTGCGGACCGAGAAGAAGCGCCTTGGCCGAGCGAGCGCGCCATGCGCATGCTGGAGAGGCAGTCGGCTTACGACCGGCTGACGGCGGGCGCAAGCGTCCTAGTGTAAAAAACATGATGTCCATAGAGCCTCGCAACGAGCCGCAGATGCTCCGGTGGTTCCGCAAGACTTATCCGAGTTACGACCTGCAGCCGCTGCTGCTGAAGCGCCAGGCGCAGGCCTTCAACGCCTGGCTAGGGGAACGCAGGCTGGCCCAAGAGGGGCAGCGGCACCTGGACGATGTGAGCCGGCTGACGGAGGCCGTGCGCCGCCAGGTCCCTCAGCTGCGCTACGCGCGCGCCGAGCGCAGGGGCGTCGAACGCGCAGCGGGCGAAGTTGCCGCGCAGTAACGGATAAAAGAGATGAAGACGCTTCGGTCCCACGGCTTCAATCAGCGCCCGCGCTTCGAGCAGGTTGTGGGCTACCTGGAGCGGAATGAGCCGCTGCCCCTGGACCAGCCGGACCGCAAGGCCACCACGTTCATCACGAGCCACCTCTATTTGGACGACTTCGTGCAGTCCAGCGAGGACCCCAACCCGCAGCCTCTGCAGCACACGCCCCTGAGGGCGATTCCAGAGGAAGGCTTCCGCACTCCCGCAGAGGCCACGGACGAGGACTTGGCCCGGATGCGCCAAGGCGGAGGAAACCGCTTCGGCGAGGACGACCTGGCTGGAGACCCAGAGGCGATGTTGCGCAGAGCAATCTCAGCCATTTCGGGGTCAGAGTAGGCGAGGTTCGGCGCCACCTGCGAGGTAGCGTGCTTCCTTCCGTTGATTTGGCTCAAGATGTCAGCCAGCATAAGGTGCCACTGCCCCCGCCGGCCCGCTCCGGCTGCTATGCAACGCAACATGGCCTCCTTAATGGTGCGGATGGCGCTCCGCGAAGTAGGCGTGGCCCCTGGTCACCTGCTTCTCGATGTCCCAGAAATCCATCAGCTCCTTGAACTCCCTCTTGAACTCAGAGCCGTCGTCGGAGTACACGTTGGCCGGAGTAGTACGGTAGGGGGGCTTATAGTAACCTATTTTCAGGGGCCTCTCAGGGCCTCTCCTTGCATCGGTTCTGCAGCTGCTCCAGAGGCCGCGAGGCAGCGTTTCGGGTCAGTGCGCGCACAGGCCTTGTAGTTGGCTCACAAGCAAGTTCATCGGTGCTCGACCAAAGTTCATCGGTCCCCCTTCGCGGTCGAAAATCATCGTCCGCGAGGAATTTCATCGTTTGGGAGCGATGAACTTCATCGCCCCCCGGTGACTTTCTTCGAGGAAAGTGCGGAAGTCATAGCGACGCTTTCTTGTTCATCGTTCCACTCGGATGTGCGATTTTTTGCCAGCCAGTGCGCAGATGCCGGAAAAATTATGGGCTATTTTTGCTTGCCAGGGTGCAGGTGTTGCCAGCCGGAGTGCAAGTGCCGGGGAAATCATGTGCGTTTCTTGTCAGCCAGGGCGTAGGTGGCGGGGTTGCTTGCGTGGTGTGTAGGTGCCGGGGAAATCCGTGCGTTTTTTGCCATCCAGGATGCAGGTGCTCGGGAAGTTGTGCGGTTTGACATGGGTGCGGTGCCGGGAAAGCCATCGGGAATTTGCAGCATCCAGATTGCAAGCTTTCTTGGAATTGCCGCGAGAGGTCAAGGCGTCGCGGGCGGCAGTTGAGCGCTCTGGAGTACTCGGTGCACGGAGGCGAGCTCCACACGAAGTCGAAGTGTTGCGGTGGAAAGGCCGCGCGGAAGTCCCGCCGCAGGACGTCGCAGAGGATATCTGGCCGGAACTTGGGCTTCAGGTCCAAGGAAGTCACCCAGCCTGCCTCGCGGAAGGCGCGGCCAATGGAGCCCGTCCCGCTGAACAGCTCCAGCAGCCTCGGCATCGCTTTTCCCAGAGAGCTGGGCGGCCAGCCACATCGCCGCAACGAGGCCCGCGAACAGGCCGGCCAGCTGGCAATTCAGAGCCAGGCAGTCCAGCAGGCCGACGGCCGGCATGATGTTTTTTGCTCGGACGAGCTTTTCCTTGCACCAAGGTAGAAAAAGAAGATGGCCAGCAACAAGCCAGCCGATCCGAAGGCCTGCGAGTCGAGCATGTGGCGTCTGGGCGACTTGCGCTCCAACGCCAAGGGAGGCAAGTTCTTGAGCTTGGAGCCGCTGATTTGGAGCAGCCCGGCCTCTCTGGAGATGCCGTGGGAGCCGTCGGCGTATTCCGAGGGGCAACGGCCCACAGTCAGCTTCGCGGTCGACGGCCCGACGCGCGAGTTTTGGGAGCGGGCCGAGGACGACCTGGTCCAGCGGCTGGCGGCCGTCTCCGAGCGCGTCTTTTGTGCCAAGCTCCCGCCCGAGGCGGTTCGGGCGCGGCTGCTGCCGGCTGTGCGGCAGTCCAGGGGCGGCGACTGGCTGCTGAAAGTCAAGCTGCCGGCCGACGCGCGCTTCTGGGACGCCGGCGGGGCGCCCGTCGAGCGCCCGGCCTCGCTGGCTCGCAGCGCCGCGCGCGTTCGGCTGCAGGCCCGCAGCTTGTGGCTGATGAACGGTCAGTGCGGGCTGACTTTGGAGGTCACGGACCTTAGGTTCGAGGAGCTCCGCCGGGAGTGCCCGCTTTGAATCGAGCGGATCTGGCCGCTCCTGTAGGTTGTGCGCTTGCGAGACAAAAAAGAAAAATAACGCTTTTTCACGTGTTTTTTTCGCAATATTTTTTCACGATTTTTACACTCCACGACGCGTTTTTAACGATTTTTCACACTCCACGGTATGGTTTTTGAGCATTCCACGAACTGCATCATGTGAAACGTCACAGGAGCAATCCAAAACCATTTGAAACAGAAAAAATGAAATCACACCAACTCCGTTTGCTGGAACCACGTTAGCATGCTTGTTGGAACATGAACTGCAAGATGCTCAAGATGGTGTGGATGGAACAGCAGCAACAGCGGCAACAGCAGCAACAGAGGCAACAGGTGCAACAGCGACAACAGCATCGGTAGCTGTAGAGGGCTTCTGTGCGTCGTGGGAGTGTGCGGGCCTCAGAGTGCTTTTTGTAGCAAACAGGTCATCAGGTGCTAGGTTCCCATGTCCAGCAGCTGCGTTCCACCTCCGAAGCGCAGGAGGCCGAGGGTTCTTAGTTAGGTGTGTTTGGTGGCGCTGTCACACGCGCGGTAGGTCGGTGGGTCGGTCTGTGGCGCTGTCACAAGCGTGGTAGGCAGGCCGGCGGCGCTGTCACAAGCGCGGTAGGTCGGTTGGTGGCGCTGTCACAAGCGCGGTAGGTGGTTTGGTGGCGCTGTCACAAGCGCGGTCGGTTGGTGGCGCTGTCACAAGCGCGGTCGGTGGGTGGCGCTGTCACAAGCGCGGTCGGTTGGTGGGTGGCGCTGTCACAAGCGCGGTAGGTGGTTTGGTGGCGCTGTCACAAGCGTGGTAGGTCGGTCGGTAGGTGGGCGGCGCTGTCACAAGCGCGGTCGGTTGGTTGGTGGCGCTGTCACAAGCGCGGTAAGTTGGTTGGTGGCGCTGTCACAAGCGCGGTAGGTCGGTGGGTCGGTCGGTGGCGCTGTCACAAGCGCGGGAGTGGTTTGCACCGCGTTTGCATCCCTGTTGCATTCCCCCCCGAGCTGACTTCGCTGACTCGCGCCCTGCTACACCCTTGTTGCGTTCCCCCGTGAAACTGGATGAGCTGACTCGTGCCTTTGCTGCGCCCCTGTGGCATCCTTCCCTGATTTCGCTGGCTCGCACCCTCCTCCCTTCGCGTCCTTGTTGTGCCCCTGTTGCACTTCAAGCTGACAAAGCTGATTCGTGCCCCTGCTGCGCCCCTTGCTCCCCTCCCCCCCCCAGCCCAAGACTGACTCGCCTGCTGCCCCGCTGTTGCACTCCGCCCCAGCCCGAAGCTGACTCGCCCGCTGCCCCGCTGTTGCACTGCCCCTCTGCCCGAAGCTCACTCCAAAACGATGACTACGATGATTTCGTCCCCAAAACGATGACTTCGTCCCCAAAGCAATGATTTTGTCTCCAAAACGATGATTTTGTCCCCGAAACGATGAGGTTCGTCCCCGAAACGATGACGTTCGTCCCCGAAACGATGAGGTTCGTCCTCAAAACGATGATTTCGTCCCCGAAACGATGATTTCGTCCTCAAAACGATGATTTCGTCCCCGAAACGATGATTTTCTCTCCGAAACGATGATTTCGTCCCCCAAACCCCCCCTCCCCCCCGCCCAAAGCTGACTCGCCTGCTGCCCCGCTGTTGCACTGCACCCTCCTGAAGGTGACTCGCCTGCTGCCCCGCTGTTGCACTGCACCCTCCAGAAGGTGACTCGCCTGCTGCCCCGCTGTTGCACTGCACCCTCCTGAAGGTGACTCGCCTGCTGCCCCGCTGTTGCACTGCACCCTCCTGAAGGTGACTCGCCTGCTGCCCCACTGTCTGCACCCTCCTGAAGGTGACTCGCCTGCTGCCCCGCTGTTGCACTGCACCCTCCTGAAGGTGACTCGCCTGCTGCCCCACTGTTGCACTCCAGATCCTGAAGCTGATGCTGCCCCGCTGTTGCGCTGCCTCTCCGAGAAGCCTTCCGCTGTTGCACTCCCCCCCCCAGCCCAGAGCTGACTCGCCCGCTGCCCCGCTGTTGCACTGCCCGCTCACTCCAAAACGAGGACTACGATGATTTCGTCCCCGAAACGATGATTTGTCCCCCAAACGACGACTTTGGTGCCCGAACAAAAAATGAAGTTCTCAAGTGCATTATGATTTTTTTGACATAGGCTGCAGTAAAGCATGGCTCTGAGAATGTGTCTGCACGACAATAAAACATTGTCTTGAACTTCAATAAAACATGTTCAGGGAAAGAACATTCCTTTTCGACGCCATGGCTCGCCATCGAGTTGGTCAATCACGTCCTGGCTTCAAGGTTGTCTTATTTGGTGTTGCAAGTGTCGTGCTGTGCTTCTTGCACCTGCCCATCAGCTCACGTCAAGCTCTAGCAATACCGGGCTCAGGCAGAGAAGACATGCCAGTGAAGCGCAGAATTCCCAAAGCAGAGGATCCCGCCGTCTTCACCACCGACGTGTTCATCCCCTTGGATGAAACCATTCGCAAGCTGGATGTTTTGTTGCAAGATGAGAGGGTGGTCTTTCTACGTGCTGGTGTGGCAAGCGGCAAGTCTACATTGGCGCAGCATTTGTGTACCACACAGCCGTCCAAGTATTTTGGAGTCCATGCCCCACTTGCAAAGGATGCAACCATTTTTGAGATGTGGGAGAGAAAGATGAGGGCAGCTGTTTGGGGACAAAACTCGAATGTGAAAGACAAAGACTTGCAAGATATGATAAGATTGATCTATGACAATGACCAAGTCCTGGTTTTCGATGAATGCCACTTGCTCTTTGCTTGCCCCGAGTTCCACGAGCAGTTCCTGAAAAAGCCCTCGTGTCTGAAAAGGCGTCCAATGGTTCTGCTCTTATCTGCAGCGTCTGAAGGAACAGATCAGCAAGGACGGACCTACTTAACACCAGCGGCAGTTACTGCAAAGTACATGTGGACTCCCCCAATCCCACATGCCAATGAACTTGTTGATCAACTTGCTGAGGCTGATGTCTATTTGTCCCAGGATGCGGTTGCTTTCTTCATGGACTTTTGTGCTGGACACAGAAGTCTATTCATAAGAAGCATGGAATGGGTGCAGCAGAAGCAAAGCGGGGACAGCACTCGCTGGGATTTGACTCGCGCACAAGGCGAAGTCAGTCAGGCATGGGACACAGACAATTGGACAGAAACCCCAGATGACAGCTTGATGGGGAAGCTTCAGACTGTTCGCGCCATTCGTGTCAACGGAGCTTTTTCAGACCCGCAGAGCATACCGCAACAATTTGTGGACATCTTGTGCGAGGGTCCAACTGCTGGTATGGACGCGAATCTCCGGCGCAAGCTCACTTTAGTTGGTTTCACGCTTCCTGTTGTGCCAGCGACTGACAGAATTCCAGAGGAGTTTACGCCATTGGATTGGGCAAAGCTCGGGACAAAATATGGCGTCGCCAATTACATGATGGCTTCCTACTATCGCCAAGCGCTTGCGAAGAAGCGGCAGCTGACAGTGGATGTGGACAGAAGCCCAACTTCTTGCACAGATTTGCTCTTGCGAGCGCTGCCATACTTGCTTTTTGCAGATGTGGTGGCCATCCAATGGGACAAGTTCGGAATTCGTTCTGATGTTTCGCAAGAAGAGCTCCCATTTGAGGTTCACTACACCCATGCCGCAGTTCGGGAGTTGAAGCGCTTGGTTGGCAATACAAATAGTTTGGAGAGCACAACTAAGGGGAAGGTTGACATCTATACTACGTTGGAGGACGGTTCAACTTTCGCCATTGAAGCGGTCATGTCTTCTCGGGGAGCAACCAGCATTGCTAAGCATCGAGATCGCTTTGAAAGCGCGTCGATGACAAACTATGCACATGCACAGCACAAGTGCTTGCTGATCATTGGCAAATGTGGAGACATGAGAGAGATTGTGGGAAAAGTGCGGGACGGTATAGAAGTGGTCGGACTTGCGCCCAATCCATCGCACACCGGCTACTATGTCTACGTCAAGCGGCAAGGTGAGAAAGTTGTTGACTTCCACATCCCGTGCGATGGAGTTGCAAGAGGGTTCTCCTGGAAGGATGAAGAACCATTCTTTGAGATCAGTTCTGCCCAGAAATTCAAGTACATTGAGCCAGGCTGGATTTTTTTGAACATTCAAACTCAGCATTGTTTTTTGGCTTCGAAAGATGTCAGAACGTGGAGTGCGAAACTCGACCAGTTTTCCGGGCCAGTGGAAAGCAACAAACGCACTTCTCACGTTGCGCGCTCAGATTGCCGCCTGCAAGGCAGTGCCGCCCCGCAACGACCCCCAGCAGTGTGGGTCTGTCAGCTGGGAAGCCCTGCCTGGACCTTACCAGCAGCTGTGAGCAGTTTTGCCTGCCCTGCATTCACGTTCTGAAAACAGCTGTCGACTTCCTTCTCAGAAGAGCTCTCAAAGTGTCGCCTAGCTCCAAAATCAAAGGCGTTTGTGGAGCCATCGGTTAAACGGATGGATGTGAACTGGATTGCAGTGCTTGTGCCTTGCAAGGACGGCAAGGACTTCAAGGTCATTGGCAACCCCTTTCAAGTTAAGGGAGTTTTGGCAAACGCAGCGGCCTTAGCTGCGCCACTTTACGAAGGATCACCTCAGCTTTGTTTTGCCCTCGGAATTGCTGCTTCATGCTTCGCGGGGATGTCAGGTGGATGATCTTAAAGAAGCCGTGCGCCCAGAAGGGGTTTGCTTTGGCTCCATGTCCGTTCTGGTTTGACACCGTTTTCATACTCTGAGAGCTTGAGGCTATTGAGAAGAAGGAGAAGCTGACCATTGCTGCGTCCAAGATTGACATTTACAGCAAAGAGGAGCTTTGCATGTCAAAGCGCATCCCCATTCGTTCCATTCCCCCCACACCTCACCCCCTTGCCGTCTCTCAGCCGGACTTTGCAGGACGGTCGCTGGGTCAAGGAGGACAAAATGTCAGAAAGTCTGCGCTTCCGATGCCTTTCGATTTTGGGTTGCCGCCCAGCTGTCAGGGCAGACTGCTATGGGTACATGTTGCCAGCTGGAGCTGCTGGAGCCGCATAGTTCGAGGCACCTCAGCAGCCCAGCAGTGTTCTACACTTGTGAACTTGCATCGTTGAAACAGGCTTCTGCTGGCTGCGGCCACTGTTCTCGGCTGAGGCAATGCTGGCGCACAACGTTTCACCTCGTACAGTGACAAAAGCATGCGTTCGCAGGCACAGTTGTTTCGTTGCAGTGCGACTTTGCTTGACTCCTTAAGGGTAAGGCAGGCAACTGTTCACACTTTTGAACATCAGGCAACGGTGTTCAAGTCAAGCAGGGAATGCCTGCAACGGGTACAGGACCAGCAACAGTTGCCGGCGCTGGTCAACAGCTGTTTCACCGCGGCGTTCCTCCCTGTGCCAAAGCGCACGGATGCAGTACCAAGCCGTTTGAAGAAGTGTGGGGGAAAGAATTGCTCTCGTGGCTTGCCTGTTTGATCTTTTTGAACCAACTTGCGCACAGGTGTCTGAGGCTATTTGTTGAGCGTGGCGATCAGGGAAGTTGAGCAGCAGTGGAAACTGTCGATTTCCTTCTCAAAACAACTCTTAAATTGTCGCCCACCTCCAAAATCGAAGGCATTTGTGGTGAACTGGATTGCAGTGCTTGTGCCTTGCGAGGACAGCAAGGACTTAGAGGTCATTGGCAACCCCTTTCACAGCGTCTCGTTGGCAGCCCTGACCCTCTTTTGAGGGGTGGATCTTTGGTTTGTTCCTGCGATTGACGGTTGTGCCTCGTTGGCGCCCCTGACCCACTTGTGAAGGAGCTTGCTCGACCGAGCCGTTCGAGATCAACAATAGAGAAATCCCTCCGCAGCACTTCTTGCGGCCATGGCTGACGCGCTGCTGGAGTACCGCAAGCAGCTGGAGCCCCTGCGCGAGGCCCTCCGCGAGGCCGATTCTCTCGGGCGGGCCGCTCCTCAGGAGGACGCGGAGCGCCTGCGCCGGCGGCTGAGGCAGGGATCTTCGACCCTGGACCGGCTCATTGAGGACGGGCAGGCTAGGAAGGTCCCCCTGGAGGAGTCCGACCAGGTCAAATCTCACAGGACCAAGCTCCGCAACCGCATCAACAAGCGCAAGCAGCTCGGCGCTGCCGGAACTGCTGCCGCAGCCGAGGCTTCGGATGAGGGCTCCGTCGCCGAGCCTGCTGCCGCTGTGGCAGCGCCCGCCGCTGCCGCCCCCGAGGTTCCTTCGGTTGATGCGGCTGCCCCAGATGTGGCTGCCCCCACTGGTGCCTTCGGTTGATGTGGCTGCCCCCACTGGCGCGGGCGGCCCTCCCGAGGTGCCTTCGGTTGATGCGGCTGCCCCTTCCGATGCGGCTGCCCCCGCAGGCGTGGCCGACGCGGTGGCCTTCTGCGAGCGCTTGGTCCGCCGGCGCAAGCGCCTCGAGGCTTCCGAGTGCGAGGAGGCCTTGAGCAAGCTCACGGCGCTCGACCTGACCGACCTCGACCCCAAGGAGGACCCCGCGCTCTCGGCCCTCCGCCTGGTCCCCAACTTCCGGGGCAGGCTTACGCGGGCCCGCAAGGCGACTCCGCAAGCGGCCGCGCCGCAAGCACCCGCGGGGCTGACGTTGGGGCCGACCTTGGGGGCGCTTCGCAAGAAGCACGCGGCCCTGCTGAAGCGCCGCCAGCGAGCGAAGGAGCCCTCGCAGCTGGCGCAGGTTCTCCAGGAGCTCCAGGAGGTCGAGGGGCTGCTCGTCGGCAAGAAGATCGCCGAGCGGCTGCCGGTCATGGAGGCGGCCAAGAGCACCACTGTGGACAGATGCTAAAAGACTCGCGTTTGCAGCCTTGTTGGACGTCCGACCACATGCGTTTGACCGGCTTTGTTAAGAAAATTTCGTGCTCACAACGCCATGTTGGCTGCCGATCGCTTGGAGGGGCTGATGGGCCGCATGTGGCTGCAGGCGTTCCGCCCCGTGCCTCTGGAGGAGCCCCGCGCCCCTCGAGCCGAGGCGGGCGTGACGGCGCTGCGCCCCCGCGGCTCCGTGTGGACCCGTGAGCTGCGGCTGCGCCCGCTGCCAGGGCAGGACGTCTTCACCGTGGACGCCATGAGGCTGCTGGTGGACCGGCTTCAGGACATGCTGGCCGTGCCGCTGCCCTTCCTCGCCAAGGTCAGCTTCCAGCTGCTGCTGTCCCGCCCGGCGCAGGATCCCTTCGGGGATGGCCAGCGGGGCCTGGATTTCCAGCACTACTTCCTGAAGCTGGCCCCGTGGATCGTGAGGCCCGCTGCGTCGCCGGCCGCGCGCGCAGGTGCCATGATGGCAGCCATCCGGTCGAAGCTTGAGGTGGCGCTCGAGCGCTCTCGCTTCCCGGAGTCTAATTGGCGCCTCGTGGGCATCTCTGCCGCGTACCTGCTGACGGCGCCCACGCAGCAGCTGGGGGAGATCCCCGCGCCGCCGCCGCCGAACGAGGCGGGCGGCTGCTGGAAGGAGCTGCCCGAGAGCTTGGCCAAGAAGAAGGCCGTCTGGAACCCCCGGAACGCGGACCGCCGCTGCTTCATGTGGTGCGTCCTCGCACACTGCCTCGGGGTCGACAAGCTCACCAAGTTTGAGCGGTCGAAGGCCGCGACCTGCTCGGGCTCCTTCTTCTACCCCGAGCAGGCCCGCCGCCCCGGGCGCCGCCCGGCCGGCTGGCAGCCCGCTCTGGCCGATGCGGGGCTGGACTTCTCCGGCTTGCCTGCTCACCGCCCAGTGAGCTTCGAGGACATCGACGCCTTCGAGCGCCGGAACGCCGGCCGGCTGCTGCTGCTCCACCAGGGCCACTTTGCGCTGATCCACAACTTCCAGGCGCTGGCCAGCAGGCAGGGGGTGGCCTTGGGCGCCACGCCGAGCAACAGCGGCGGCTGCAAGGAGTACAAGTGCCCGAAGTGCATGGCGCGCTTCACAAAGAAGGCCTCCTGGCAGCGCCACCGCAGCAGCCGGTGCTACCGAGAGGTGGCCGAGCGCACCCGGAAGGTGCCGCTGCCGGATCCGGAGAAGCGCCAGCACCTGCTGCGGTACAAGCCCAAGGCCTCGGCCGAGCTCGCCCCTCTGGTGTGTTATGCGGACCTGGAGCTCTACGGCACGCCCGCCCCGTCGGTGCACGTGGCCCAGGCGCAGCCCGCCCGCCAGACCACCGTGGCGTCCTCCTGCTACGTGGCGGTCGGGCGCTGCGGCTACGAGCCGCCTGAGGAGCTGCGGCTGCGGCTCGCGCGCCACAAGCGGGGCAGCGGCAAGTTCCACGTGGTGCGCACCATGCTGGACGACCTCCTCAAGCTGGCCGCGCACTACCTGCAGTGGAGGCAGCGGTGCTTGCCGGCCCGCTTGACCCTGGAGGAGGAGCTGGCCCACGAGCGCGCCAGTCATTCCAGGGAGTGCCTGAGGTCGTTCGCGACCGTTGCGAAGAAGCTCCACCACTGCCACGGCACCGGGCGGTACCTCGGGGCGCTGTGCCACTCCTGCAACATCGCGGCCCAGACGCCCAAGTGTGTGCCGGTGGTGTTCCACAACGGGGGCGGCTACGACTTCCACTTCCTGCTGCGCTACATCGCGTCTCTGGGCTCTCCGGTCCGCCGCGCGCGGCAAGATGAAGAGGAGAGCTCCGGCAGCGACTCCGACAGCGACTCCTCGGACTCGGACAGCGGCTCCGACAGCAGCTCCGAGGACGCGGCGCAGCCCAAGGCCAAAGCGAAGGCCAAGGCCAAGGCCAAGGCCAAGGCCAAGGCGCAGGCAAAAGCCAAGGCCGGATGGCAAGGAGCGGTGCAGGCCGCGCTCCAGCAGGGGGACTACAGCCACCTGAAACTGTCGGTGCTCTCCAAGTCGGGCGAGAAGTGCCTGCAGCTTTGTTGGGGCCCGCTGAGGTTCGTGGACAGCATGAACGTCTTCCCGACATCCCTGGCCAACATGATCGACGACCTCCGGGCCTGCGCCGCCGGCCACAGGTCCCTGCCAGAGCTGTTCCCGCTGATGGCCTCGCACCACCCCGAGCTGCGGAAGCTCTGCGCACCCTTGCGGCCCACCGTGCAGCCCCGAGTCCCTGCGGCGGCAGTGCCTGCAGACGTCCCGCACCTCCCGCACCGGGGCGCTTGGGCAGTCGGTCGCAGGCGCGGGCCCACGTCGCGGAGGACCCGCTGCTGCAAGAGCAGGCTGGCGCTGGTGTGGGACTGCCTGCTGCGCAAGCTGCCCATGCCCTTCGACCACTTCAGCGGCCCCGAGGCCTGGCTGAGGCCGGCGGTGTGGGAGCGCGGCTGCTACGACAGCGTGCTGGCCGGCAAGCCCGTGGGCGAGGAGGAGTGCCAGCAGGCGGTTGACACCGCTAGGACCATGGGGTGGACGCACTTCACGGAGTTCCACGACTGCTACCTCCACACAGACGTCCTGGCCCTGGCGGACGTCATGGAGAGCTACCGGGACTCCTTCCGGGCGCAGTCGGGGCTCGACCCGATCCATTACGTCACGCTGCCGGGGGCCGCCTGGGACGCCATGCTGAAACACTCGGCCCGCGAGTTCCCGATCCACCTCATCACTGATGAGCGGGCCTACCAAGACGTGCTCCATCATGGGAGGGCTCAGCTGCATCTTCCAGCCGTATGCTCGGGCCAACAACCCGGAGCTGGGCGAGGACTACATTCCCGCGGAGCCCTCCAGCTGGATCTCCTACTTGGACTTCGCACTGCGAGCCCGTGTTCTTGCCGGAAAGCGGCGCCGAGCGGCTGCGGTGGCTCCACGGCTCTTGCCTGGCGGGGCTGGACTGGGAGGCGGACGACGAGGCGGAGTGCTACCTGCTCCTGGTGGACTACGACTTCCCGCCCGAGGCCCACGACTACTTGGACTGGGCGCCACCGGCCCGCATGAAGGTGGGGCCCGGAGGCTCCACCGGGCCTACCGCTTCCGCTGCGAGCCCTTCATGGCCGGCTTCATGGAGCTGAAGCACCGCGAGCGGCGGGAGCTGCAGGACGCCGGCAGCGTGGTGGCGGAGAAGGTGGTGAAGCTCACCCAGAACGCCATCTTCGGCCGGTGCTGCATGAACCCCGACAAGTTCAGGAACACCACGGCCTACGTGGACCCCACCCGAGATCAAGGTCGGGGACAGCGTCAGGATCAGGGTCAAGCCAATCGAAAACAGGGCCTCCTACAGGGTCAACGAAATAGCTTGGAGCGAAAAGGTTTACAGGGTCACCGCCGTTGAGAAGAGCGAAATGGGGGCCAGGTTCACAGCTTGGAGGGGTGGCCCGAAAAGA